CCAAAGGCAGTCTGGTCGATTGTACTGACATTTCCCCACTAATTTCAGTGGAATTAAATTGGCTGAAAACAACATACTGATTTCTAAATATTCGTCCTTGCTAATTGTCTGTTTGTCATATCCGTTACAGGTATGCAACAAATTTGTTTCTAATACCAGCACATACTCGCAAAAGGTATCTGCTTGCCTAGGAAGAGTGCTTAGCTTTTGTATGCTCTTCTAATCTAACAGCCTTGCTAGTAGACTATGGTTCATGTTGAAATTCTGAAAACTGCATTACTTTGGGGTAAATTTGATGACAAATTAAGAAGCATGTTACTTAATATAAAAATATATTTTCTATGTGATAGGGCAGTTCTGAAACAAAAACACTTGGTTGAAAAATATGGGAAGGATACATTTGCAGAATAAGAAAAACCGGTAAAGTCTTAAATATTTTTTAAATTATTGGGTTCTATAATTGTACAACCATACCGATATGCTTTACACTAATCATTTTCTCTCTGTGTTACAGTGAAACGCCGATATTACATTTAATATAAGAAATAGTGTAGCTATTTTCATCCAATAGGGGGCAGCATGGAGCAACAGATCAGCAATGTTAGGAAGCTGATTTCCTGCTCCCAGCCTGGACTAGATTCTGTGGCAACAAAGGGGAGGAATATTCCGAAGACAGAGGTTATGAGAGAGTCACGAGCGTTCTAGCCTTATGACTGTTTAGATGAGGAGAAGTCACCAGAGTTGTGACCTTTTCTTTTAAATGATTTCACATATGTCAAGGTTTGCATCCGCCAGCTTCTGGACTTTGTGGAAGCTGTCAAAGTCACTGCCTTCAGGCCACAGGGGACCATTGTTCTGATGCATCTTCTTTCTGATGCAAAAAAGTCTAAACAGTCATGGAAATTTGATAATTCAGAAGAATAGCCAAATTCCCAGGGTGTTTTGGGCCACATGGCCTTTCTTTGGATGAATGTTTCTTACCAAATGCAAAATGGCTTCTTTACTCTCCTGTGTCCCATCTTTCAACAACAGATAGTGCTCCAGGCAGACTAACAACAATGAGATGCAAGATACAATGCAAAATTAGAATATACAACGTAAAATCAAGTCAGCTTACAAACACACAAGGAAATTCTCAATATTCATAAGACTTGTGTGCAGAAGTTCAGTTCTTGGTAGCATCAGTAAAAGGATCTGGTGACAAAGGATGAGACGATGTGAACCTGAGCTAGGTAGAGCTCGGAAAGGCAGCTTTCTATATCCTTCTGGGATTCTCTAGGGGAGGCATTTAACCCATTGTTTCTTCTTCAGTTTTCATCATGGGAGGAAAGGTCCATCCTTTACATAGTCCCCTCCACCCAGCTCCAGCCTGGGGTTTGTATTTCTTTGCTTTTCTATATATTCTATTAACCAACCACAGGTGGCACTGCGGTGCCATTGCAGTATGGCAGATTTGTGGCAATACCCAAGGCTTTTGTTCCAGTTTAAAATTTAATCACAGACTGAAACATGGGGGAAATATGGGAGAGGCTCTGAAGGACAATGATGACATTGTGAAAAATCCCCATGAACTTCTGTGAGTGAGGAATCACAGGCGTATAATACATGCTTTGTGTAGAGAAGCCCTGTGCATAGAAGTCCTGTCAAGTATTAGACAGGCACTGCTAGTGTGTCTGGGGTGCTCATGCCTTTCTCTCAGCCAAAGTGGTTTGACAGCAAACCATTTGCAAGTGTAAATCTCAGTTCCTTGCAGCTGATGCGCAGAATAGCCACGGAATATCAGAAAAGCCCATTTTATTGTTGCTGTTTTCCATATGAACTGGAAAGGTTTCTTTGGGTCTTGGTAGCTCATCTCCCTGCCTTTGCCTCATGCAGTGAAGCTCATACTGAGTCTGCAGCAGTTTTCAATGGTTTGGTCAACTGAAATAATTAACATATCTTTACTGGGAAGCTTTCCATTAAGTCCTGGTTGTAGAACTTCAAGCCCTAGGCTGAGCTCAAGCTCGCCTGAGATCCAAGTCTGCTTTCACACCACCATCCCCTCCTCCTCCCCCACTGATCTGTGGCTTCCCAGCTAAGGGAGCAATTCTATGCAGATTTCAGTAGGAAAAAAGTCTTACAACTCCTGGCATTCTGCTGGCTAAGGGAATGCTGGGAGATGTAGGACTTTGTTCTGTCTAAAATTGCATAGAATTGTGCCCTAAAAGTGTGAAATTTTACTACTGTAGTTTAGGTCCTGGCAGTATTTTGCTCTTGCCCTTTTTGCCTTCCACTCCACACCGTAGTGGAAGTCACTTTCTCTTAAATGAAATGTGGCCTTGGGCTTAAAGAGGTTCAACAACCCTCCTTTAAATAGTTGCTGCATTTCTATAAAAAATGGAAGCATACTAATAAATGAAAGGAGGAGCAACAGGAAATTGCCCCATCTTATCAGGTTGCAGGAATTCTCCTTTTCTTTGAGTGTAATCTTTCACTTTTCTGCAAGGCATCATTCTAGCTTTGAGGCTCTGGAAGCATGAAACATTTGTCAACCCAAGGTACACTTCATGGATTCATCATTTTTATTAACCATGCTTAATTTGGTGCTGCTGCTGGTTATTTCCCACATCAGAAATTCAAAGTATTCAAATTTGAATACTGGGCAAAGTATTCAGCCAATTATTTTTTTCTCCTTACTGTTCCACAGGCACACAAATAGAGCATGACAGAATCAGAGAAGCATTAAGTAGTGTCTTGTGAAAACACTCTTTGGATTCTTTTCTGTAAGAAATTCTGACTCTCAGTTTCAGGATAACAGACAAAACGGAGTCTAGAACATTTGTCCGGCATTTTAAATACAGCTGCCATCAGTCTCAGAGGGAAATGAACACGCGGATCCCTGTGTTCTAGAAGGTCTTGTTGACATCCAACTGAGAGACTGCGGATTGCACCAAGGCGACTTTACACCGGTCCTGGCACATCCTTTGGCAGCTACCTCTACAGTTTTAGTGACCTACATTGTAGTATTCTGAGGATGACTAAGGGCTCTTCTAAAAGATCGACCATTTCAAGCCCCACTAACATTTCCCATGAACATATCTTTACCCAGCTCCTTTATGTTGCACTTTTCAGTGTGCCTGTACAGAGCTTCTCTACACAAGGCTGTTGATCTGCTGTATCTACTTTTGGTTTCATCACACAATTGAGATCTAAGGAAAGCTTCCTTTCCTGCTTTTTCCCCACACAGCCTCTAAGTGGCACTGTGGCATGGCACAAATGCACAAGAGGAAATAACTCCTTCATTGTCCCAATTAAATTTAGGGAGTCCTGAAACACACACACAGAACAAGCAAAAAACAACTCACCAAAAGTGCTGGTTCGACATAGAAGTGAAACTGGAGGGTCACAAAAGCACTGCAAGAACTGCAAACTTTGACTGGAGAGGAAGGTTGCTGTAGCTTAGAGGCACTGGGTGAGTGCCCTGGCAGTAGGACTGGAAAGCAGGCAGGCCATCATTCAGTAAGGAACTTTGAAACACAGATGCAGTCATTGCATCATGGGCACTCTCCAACAGGCCCTCAAAACAGGGGTGCGAAACAGACTGCGGGGCAAATCCAGCCGGCTGGGGTTTCCAGTCTAGTCTTCTGAGGACTTCAGAGGGTCACCCCCTTCTGTTCACCACACCCCTCTGCTCCCGAGCTTTGCACATGTGTTACTACTGCTGCTGCTCATGCTGCTGCAGTATTATTATTATATTGCATTTTTATCCTGCTTTTCCCCTCAGTGCTGCTTACATAGCTTCCTTTTATCCTCAGAACAACAACCCTCTGGGGTAGGTTGGGCTGAGAGTCTTTTTTTTTTTTTTTGAATAAGTTTTATTATTATTTTCTACAAACTAAAAAGAAAAAACTAAAAACATCAATCATCAAAGACATCAGACTACTGGGTCAGCCCCCACCCCATTTTTTTATAGCAATACATAGACGTATTCAAAACTATGCATAGTCGCTTCTCTCTAGCCAATAATAAAAAGAGTTCCAAGCATGATAGAAGTATGTATCCTCTTTCTCCTTCAGAGACAAAGTCAGCCTGGGGCTGAGAGCCTTTTAACTGGTCCAAAGTCACTCAATGAGCTTTGTGGCCAAATGGGACTAGAAGTCAAATCTCCTGAGTCCCCAGCCCAACACTCCCCCCTCCCCTCCCCACCACACCACCTGGCTCCCCTCCAAAGGCTTTGTCACTGGCATCAAGCGCTTCGAGCGACAATATTTAGTTATTTGGGGCATTTTGACCCACACCTTTTGTCCCGCCTGCTGTTGGGATGCAGCCTCCAAGCACTTTTATGACATTGCATTTAGCCTCTGGGCTGAAAGAGCTCTACCTCTGACCGACTCTCATTACCAATAGCATTTCATTCTTCACATTTATTTCCTGCCCTGCTCATCAAAAAGCAGTGCAAATAAGATTCCTGATGCAGTCCCCTAAAACTTGAAAGCAAAATACAACAGTGTTCTTCATTACACATCCAAAATGTGAATTTGTCTACTGCAAATTCAAGGAAGGTCACAAGACTTGGGCTGACAGTGATTAACCAGTAAATATGTTTGCTTCTTTGTAGGTATTAAGATTTGAGGAGAAAAAGCATGTTCAGAGATGCACGAAGGCTGAATGCCATTAGGGACCCTTCCTCAGAACCAGAATGGATTCCAGGGTCTTTCAGCATCACCATGCAAACCTGTACAGTGAAGTACAATCCAAATGAGCTGAAGGCAGTCATGATTAATGAAGTGTGGGCTAAGGATATTACGTTTTACAGGACTGAATGGCGCTGGAAGGTGTAAGAGCCCTGCGAGTGCACAGTGGTCTTGCTGAGATTGAGCACTGGCAACCAAGATGACAAACATGTGATTCCAGGGAACCAGCTGGTTCTTTTTCACTGCCACCACTGATTCTCTCGGACTACTCTCTGGGCACCCATAATAGGATGGGTGATGGACTCATGAAGGGTGGTGCCAGTCTCCATGGAGCCCTCTCTCCCCTCCCAGTGGCTGCGGAATTCTGCCAGGATAAGACGGCTGCTGCAGACCTCCCAGAGCCCAGTGCTGCTCAATTCCAGCCTGGACTCCAAGACCAGGGACTTTGCCTCCGAGTCCGTGGGTCTTTTCTTCATGCTCTTAATTGACTTGACAGCCATCGTCGGCAACGTCGCCATCATGACGGTCATTATCAAGACGCCCGCGCTGAGGAAGTTCGTCTTCGTGTTCCACCTGTGCCTGGTGGATCTCCTGGCCGCCGTCACGCTGATGCCTCTGGCTATGCTGTCCAGCTCAGCCTTCTTCGATGGCACGGTCTTTGGCAATGCCATATGCCGCACCTACCTGTTCCTGAGCGTCTGCTTCATCACCATGTGCATCCTCTCCATCTCGGCCATCAACATAGAGCGCTACTACTACGTGGTGCACCCCATGCGCTACGAGGTGAAAATGACAGTCGGCCTGGTGGTTAGCGTCCTGGTTGGAGTCTGGATCAAGGCCGTCATCATGTCCATCATCCCCATCCTGGGATGGCTTTTCCAAGACCATGGCAGTAGCATCTCAACGTACAGCGGACAGAGCTGCACCTTGCAATGGAGCCGCAGTGCCTACTGCAAATTCTTTGTGGTTTTCTTTGCCCTTTTCTACTTCCTCCTGCCCATCTCCATCATTTTGGTTGTCTACTGCAGTATGTTCAAAGTGGCCAGAGTAGCTGCCATGCATCATGGCCCGCTGCCCACTTGGATGGATACCCCCCGGCAGCGGTCAGAATCCCTTAGCAGCAGGTCCACTATGGTGACCAGCTCAGGAGCCCCTCGGACCACTCCTCAGAGGACGTTTGGGGGTGGGAAAGCTGTCATCATCCTCTTGGCAGTGGGAGGCCAATTCCTCTTCTGCTGGCTGCCATATTTCTCCTTCCATCTCTACTCTGTGCTGAGTTCCCATTTCCCTGGCCGGCAAACAGAGAATGTGGTGACTTGGATTGGCTACTTTTCATTCACATCCAATCCCTTCTTCTATGGGTGCCTCAACCGACAGATCCGAGGAGAACTCAGCAAGCACCTCAGCTGTTTCTTCAAGCAGCCACCAGAGGAGGACCTCAGGCTGCCAAGCAGGGAAGGCTCCATTGAAGAGAACTTCTTGCAATTCCTGCAAGGGACGGGCTGCAATGCCGAAGCAAGAAACACTCTCGCCCACCCAAGCCCCAAAAGGGACCAACCGACCATTGATTTCCGGATCCCCGGGCAAATTGTGGAGGAGACCTCAGAGTTCCTGGACCAGCACATGAACAGTGACATCACTGTCTCTGACAGCTACATCAGGGCAGCATGTTCACCCAAGCCTGAACTGTAGCTGGTTTTGCACTTGATAATCTAGTTTTACTGGTGTGTGAGATAATGCAGAACATAGCAGCTCATGGAGTTGGGAGGGGAAAATATTTAATAAATGCAACCATGGCAATTGGACCCTTATCTTTCCAGCTCCCTATTCAAGCCAAGCAACAGCTGCTACGAGTATCTGAGTCATTTCATTCAATTTCACCAACATGGGATGGTAATTGCTCTCCCCTCCCCACCCCTATCTCAACTCATTCTTAAGGTTTGGTGTGAGGAATGGTTTTAAAGCTTCCTGAAGTTTTCATGTATACTGTACCAATTTCCAAAATGGCGTTGGTATTTGCCATTTAGGTGTGTGGGGGTGGGTGGGTTGATCCTTGACTTTGATCTTCCCTTCCTGAGAAATTAACCTTGTGAAAGAAGGGCAAAGATTTCTCCTTCTCTGTGCCTTCTGGTGGTGTTCCTTGACTTACCGGACTGCAAATGCCCACTGCTGTTTAGGCTGAGCATGGCTGGGCCACTAGAAGGTCCAGGGGCTGGTGGAAGCAGCAGCTGTGGCAGAACAATAGACTTTTAGGAGCAGGTTTTAAGGATCCATGTTTGCTTCCTAGCAAAGTGTCCCTCTGCAGGGCTTCAATTCCTTTCTACCGCAGAAGCAAATGAGCGTGCATCTGGATGGACGGCTCCTAGTGCAACCAATCCAAAGACATCATGCAGCTATTCCATATTCCCCCCCCCCCCCCAAAAAAAGTGTTGCAAGAAGTGGTAGAAAGCACAGAAGGGCTACAAATGGAAGGCACTGTTCCATAAAATTCTGTTTTACAGGTGGGATGATTGCATAGAAAAGGCCTCACCTGAAAGTACCTGGGGACCACAGAGGTCACAGTGAGCTTTTTTCTACAGTAAATCAGACACTAATAATCTCAGGGTCAGAGGCAGCAGCCAGATTTTGCCCTCATCGCAGGGGCTGTATGCCACTCCATAAAAGCCATTGTGATGCACAGGGGAAGGCGAAAAGAACCTGTCCCAGTCCCTTTGCTAGTTTGAAACCAAAAAGGCCCTGCATGGAATGGTTGTGATGGAAAAGCAATGGGCTTTTAGGCAGGCAGCACACGGAGACCCGTGGCCTTCTTTCTCCAGGATCCTATTGCACTCGGCATCCAGCATTTTGGTGCAGGCCAACAGGACACGTGGCGCTGGAGACCAGGAGTGACCAAGGGCTTCCACAGGTGAAGATGTTATTTCTGTCCATTCAGCATGAACAATCAGCTTCATTTCCCGAACTCCCTTACAGCCTTCTTGCTCCCATAAAGCCTATTCAGAGGTTGTCAGAGAAATCCACCATGGATTCAAATGAGTTCAGATTTTTCTGAATCCAACCTATGGATTCCACAATGCACTAGTTTTTTTCTAAGCCATGCTGATTCTGCGGACCTACTTTTTTATTTGGGGTGCTGGTGGTGGTGGTGGTGTGGATTTGCACACTTTTATTAATGTGCTGGGAAACAAAAATCCGATTCTTGAGTGAAAAACAGAACAAAAGACGCCTGACAATCACAGATGGGATGGATTTAACAAAACTGGTACATCCATAGCTTACTCAGCACAATCTTTCTGTTCCCCATTGTTTTCCATCAGTTTATTAAAAACTGAGCCAAGGGTTCCAGCTAGCTCCAGGCTGAACTGGGTTTCCCATCGTAAATGTTCCCCACCTTGTTCTGTGAGTCCAGTGCTGCAGTGTCTCTGCAGCCACTGGAGGAGACCTCCCTATTAAGGTAGGACAGGGTCCCTCAGGGCACATCCCAGTGAGGAGATGTCTGGGCAACTGGTGCGCATAATGATGGTTGGCTATCCATAGAGAGACGATCTCTTGTACATCCACTGCAGTTCCAAAGCATCAATAGTCGTGACACCCCACCCACTCGTTGCTAATTAGTGCCTTTCTTAGCGCTGTCATTGCTGAAAATTCAGCATCATGCCATCTTAAGATTAGACTGAAAGTCACCTTAGAAGGGAAGATACTCTGCCCCCTGCTCGCCATTTCACTCCAATTAAACAATGGCTTAAAACTGACTCTGCCACACTGCCTCTTTCCCTTGTTTATTTATTTCTTGTTAACATTTAGACTCACATTAAAATCTACTGAATGCAGCCCTGCCATATCACAACAATGAGGTAGAATGCCTATCTTAAAGCCACAATGTAAGTGGGAGCAACACACCAATGTATCTGCTCAGGATGCTCTCTTTCTCCCCCACCCCCCACTCCCATTTAGACTCCCATCTTACCTGCTAAAAAGCCCTCAAGGTTTGAAAAACCATTTAAAACCCTAAAAACAAGAACATTAAAAATGTAAAAAACTTTAAAACAACTTATTTTTAAAGGCTGATTTGAAGAGGTGCTGCTTTCCAAAGGCCGATGGGCACAGTCTGTCGTTCGGGGGCACAGGAGAAAGGCCTTTCATGTGGAAGGGGCCATGGTTAAGATATTTGTGCTCTGTCAGCCCCCAGAGCTGCAGAAAATTTTGCTTTCCAAATTCAGTGATGAAAACTTTGAATACATCTCCTTTGATTTCTAACCACCAATCGGCCACAGTTCTGTATAATGTACATAAAAGAGAGCTTATCTCTAAACATAGCAATATAAGGCTGGAAGAGAAGAGCTTTCCCCTCTCAGTCCTCCAACCGCACATGCCAGGAATCTATTTATTTATGTAGCACTACAGATGAGCTGCTAAACAAGTAGAATTGCTGCAGCCTCAAAGAGTGTGGACATGTGGATGAAAACCACAGCAAAAGTCTGCAGTGCCTGCAGGCGCTCTCAGACTCTCCCTTGTCGCAGCCTGCAATGCAACGCAATGTGAGGCCCTGTGATCATTGTCTCCAGATGGAGCTCTTTGGTGGCCTGAAAAATAGCTGCATGGATGTGATTATATTTTAAGATACGGCATTTCACTTTCTAGTAAATCACATAATTGTTTCTTTCCAGAACCTCTGCAATCTCTTTTCTTTGCTTTACAGTCTTTATGGCCGTTGCATAAAAAACATGGATGGTGTTTTCCAGAGGCTCAGGAAACAGAAGGCAGCTGGATCAGAGGGTTGGGATTAGGGTTAAGGTTAGATTCTGCACATGACACAGCTTCCTACTGTTCATTATTTCCTTCTATTTGTGCACCTTTGGTTCCTGTATGACACATATGCATTCTCCTTTCTTGTCTTCTACTACAACATTTTCCTCTCCAAAGTAAATTGGCTGAAGATGGGGGATTGCGGGGAGGGGAACCAAAATACTGCAATTAGAAAACTGTAGTTAGGTGAAGTCATGCCAGTTTGACCAATATTCAGAATATCTTTTGACTGCAAAATTTGGGCAATGGGATGCAACTCACAAAGTTTGGATGCTATCCTTCTCAGCCTCTCAACTAAGGTATACCCCCACCAGTCATTCAACTAGTGATGTACTGGAGCCAGAGTTCACAGGGTCAACACAGGGGGATCTTTTGATTAGTAGAATCAAAATTTGATTGGAAGGAATGCCATCCCTACCTTCCCATGTCCTCAAACAGACTTCCTTGCTCCTTATGAACTTTGCTGCCATTATTAGAGTAGAGGAGAGTGGATGATTTTCCAAGCAACAATATATTGTTCCTTGCTATTTTGAATAATTTGGGGTGGCTTGTCTTGAATGAGCCACTAAGACTCATAGAGTGGGTTCAAACAACCTGGTAACCCATGTGCAAGGATTGAGTGTGGGCTGCTGTTGAACCATGGGTTGCTGTTCAAATGTGGTTAGCATTTTTCTGAACCCAACTGCACTAACAAACTGTGGCAGTGGTTTAAACTGCTGTGCTGCTGGGCTGGTTGATCGAAAGGTCGCCGGTTCAAATCTGCACAACGGGGTGAGTTCCCATTGCTCCGTCCCAGCTCCTGCCAACCTTGTGGTTCGAAAGCATGCAGATGCAAGTAGATAAAAAGGTACCACTTCGGTGGGCAGGTAACAGCGTTCCATGCACTTCGGTGTTTAGTCATGCCTGTCCACATGACCACGGAGACTGTCTGCAGACAAATGCTGGCTCCCTCGGCCAGGAAACGGAGATGAGCACCGTCCCCTAGAGTCAGGCATGACTGGACTTTAATGTCCAGGGGAAACCTTTACCTTTACCTTTAACCACAAATGGCTCATGAAGAGAACCTGTGATTTGTTGTTGGGTAGTGAACCGTGGGTTGTTCTTCCTGGTTTGTTATCTTGACTGGGCAACAGTATAACCTTCATTTCAATAAGAACCCACAGTTCAATGACAACCCACACTCAACTGGTGCTCAATCCATGAATGTGGGTTATTGTGTTGTCTGAAACCACTCATTAACTTCATAAATTGCTGGTGGAAATGAAAACTGCTTAATGTGATTTGTTCATATGGATCAACAGAACAACTGGTAGTTTTGGACTCTCCTTGGGACCATGGCTAGGGGAGCTGCCATGATGTGTGCCTCCATTTTAAAATTCACCACTACACTGCTTCATTCATTCTTTTTCTACTGGCTTGATGGGACCCAGCTTTGGTCATCCCTTTTCTGATCATGCCAGCAGAAAGACTGCACTTAACTGACCCTTCCTCTGACCTACAAAATCAGTGCACAATCACACATTTCATTGGGTTGGTTTTCCTCACAAGAAGATGAGGGTGCTTTGTGTAGAACAGTTGAAACCCTGAGCAACAAATAAAGCTATTGTTTATTATGAAATGTGCTCCCTACCTGTGTGTGAATAATGGGTTTTCAACCTCTCAAACTAGAGCCAGAGGTTCCAAGTAGGGAAGTGATTCTCTCAATAACCTCATGCCAATCTGATGTTGCTTACCCAGCAGCCTGGCTTGGAACTGAGGATGTGTGTTAGTTTCTTTTTAATTGAAAGCCTGCCGTTTTTTATTCCAGAGGACAGTATTTTCTCTGTTGCTTTTTCTCTCTATGATATTTTTTTCAGGATGCTGAATCTTGAAGGAAAATTATTATGTGG